CGAAAAAACCTGCTCTCTGGCCTGCTGGTGGCAGATTTCAGAGCACATGGGGAAGTTGTCCTCTGTGATGTAATATCCACGAGCAGGGAAGTTCCCTGTTTATAGCAGCAATAATTCCTACCATGTACTACTTCCTATCTCCTGCCAGATACTTTAAGCACTTTATTTCTAAATATCCCATTCAATACATAAGCTGAGGCTTGGGGAGATTAGGTAACGTAATTAAGAAGTTTCTAGCCCAGAATTCAAACTGGAATTGACTTTTTGACCTATAGTTTTTCTGAGATGCAAATCTACCTAACATTCTCCAGGGAATCTAAAAATCCTAAAATGTTTTGCTGGCTTTATACTTGTACAGGTTATGCACATTTTGTGCAGAGGGGTGTAAGTTTAAAATAGTCACATGGTTCCTCCAGTGTCTTTTGTCTTCTTCCTGAGACACTCTGTGCATTTATAGACACATTCATAAACATGAACGCATACTACTTTATATGCTGTCATGCTTTTGGCTTTCCCTCCCAATCCTTTATCTTAGAGAAATACTCCAACCTTATATATAAAGAAGCCCCTATCTCTTTCTCTCTTTAAAAAAAAAGGCAACTGTAGTGTGGCTTGCACAGAAGCTCCATGATGTATTTCACTGATGCTGTTCTTACAGACACTCCACCTAAATGGGTTTATCCTGAAATTTCAAATCTATTGTGATTTCTGCTCTGGAACTTTCCTGGTACTAAGTCTGTCACATTGATCCCTCACAATCCCCCTGGAAAAGGGGGATTTTTTCCCCCTTTCAATTTTTTTTTTTTTTACAGTCTTTGTAATTGTTTTTGTGGCTTCTTATTAAAGAACTGGAACATTGCCAGTTGCTGTTGCTTTTGTCTGGCCCGGGGACCCAGCAGCAACAGGGTTGGTCCCTTTTTCTGATAGAGGGAGGTCAACAACTGTGGAAATAGAATCCACTTCTGACTCTGCCCCCACATGCTCTGTGAACTTGAACATGTCGTTCCCATTTCTGAATCTCACTTTCCTCACCTATTAAATGAAGAGACTGAATTAGATCAAAGGCTGGCAGATATTTCTTGTGAAGGGCCAGATTTGTTAACTTTATAGACCATATAGTCTTTGATGGAGCTACTCAGTTACATTGTAGCATGACAACAGTGAGTTGTATTGTATCCAATAAAACTTTATTTGCAAGAACAGGCACTGGGTGTGATTTCACCTGAGGGCCAAAGTTACTGATCTCTGGGCTAGGGACACTTCTCTTAATTTCTATAAATCTGTGAAGAGCTTTCCTTATCTACTTAGGGGGAGGGAAGGGACACATATCCAATTAATACCCATATTGTCAGACACTCATAGGGGCTTTGTGAAGGTGGCTTGGACTCCTCAGAGCACTTCACTTGGGTAGGTACTATGGGAAATCTGAAACTCAGGGAGGTTCTGAACTTTGCTCACTATTCGCCCCATTGAGCTCTGAACCTCTTCTTAAGCCTCAAGTCCTTTTTATGTTAGATTAGAAAAGATTCTTAGTGATGCCAACTTCCTGTGGTTATTACAAGGTGGAAAGAGGAAGTCCCTTACAGCAGACCTGGCAGCTGAACAGCTAGGTAAATACCAGAAGCAGGAGAGCACAGGGAGCCCCAGGGAATGGAGGGAGACCAGGGGGGCCACGGTGGGGGCAGGAGTGAGGAGGGAGGCTGGTACAAGTTTTCAAGGAATTGCTTTGACTCTTGTGTGGAGCATCAGGCCTGCTGCTCTTTACAGGATATCTTCTTTCACAGGATATTCCTGTTCCCTACTTCATTTACCCATGAAAAGGACAGATGGAAAATGCTTTCCATGATGACAAAACTTGATTGTGGGTATCCAGGTTACATCCATTACCACGTAAAGTTGGAAGGAACTATGCGTGACAAAGGTGCCTGAGGACTAGTTATTGTTTATCTTGAGATCATGCATGTAATGGGTTGCATCTGCTGGGTGCGGAAAGGGTGAGATCCCTGTCAGTCTTTGCAGTCTCTCAGCTGCTAGCACATCACATCCTGGCTCGCTGCTTATTCAAGAATAAATTGTTCTTCCTTTACTTCCTTGGTGGAAGGGTTTTTGGGTTACATTTCACCAACATGAGCATGCTCTGCACCTCCTCTAATCTTCCCGTCCCTCCTTGGAAAAACATGAATAGCCCTAACTGGCCCCTGGCCCAGGAGTCTTGGATGGCTGATTCTGAGCATGAAATGAGATTTGGCCTTTCCCTGGGAGGCAGCACCCTGGTGAGCCTCAGTGATTGGCTGTAGCTGCCGCTGCTTTTGCTGCTTTCCTGATATTACTAGTAATATTCTTGGGTCACCAGACACCCCCCGCTCCTGCCAGCGAGTGCAGGGAGTCAGAGGGTCTGTTTCTAGCTTTAGGCTGGATGGCCGTCAATGGCTTAGTTACCCCTAGTGGCCTGTAATTATCTGATAGGCTTCTGTCTGCCCATTATGGGTTAGTGGCCCTGACCTTGGGCACAGCATTCTGGCACTGAATCCTTCCTTCCGGTCTCTGCAAAGCCTTTCTGAACCATTCCTAGCCCCCAGGTTTGGCTAAAAGGACAGCTACAATTCCATGGCACCTCTGCTGAAATAACCTAATTCCTTAATCATCTCATCATAAGACTTGGGGCCGCCTGAAGCCATGACCAAGTTTTCTTGGTAGCTGGCTGGTGCCTGGCATAGCGTGAGGTTCTCATCACAATAACCATGGCATGTAACTCTTCCCCGGTTCAGTTTACAGACTGCTCCTGCACTTGCCTCATCAGTGCTCTCAGAGTATAGATATTGATCTCCTTTTTGGGGGGTAGAAAATTGAAGTGAAGCCATGTGCTCATTTTCACATCAGCAGAAGTGGCTAAGCTGAGATTCAAATTCAGGTTGTCTAAGAGCTTTCATATTTCACCATTATGCCCAACCAAACTCTGCTCTGTGGCTTGGTTTCCCTCCCTAAATCCCATCTTCTGTTTCCTCTGAGTGGGTTTTTCTACATTAGCCCCTCCGATCCATTGTCAGCCCTTCTCAGCCCTGATAGACTAACCACTGGGCAAACTGACTTGACTCTTTTGGGATTTGGCTTCCGGTTTGGGTCAGGCTAATGTGACCAGAGAGGGGAACAGAGTGGCTGGAGTTGCCCTCCCCCTTTCTGCTCCTTGCCTGCTGTTTTGGCTGAGGACCTTTCTGTCCTCAGCCCTCAGCTCCTCAGGTTCTCCTTGGGTGTCTTTAAACCCCTTCCTCCATTTGCCCCTTCAGACAAGGAGCAGTGACTGGCTTTTTCTCTGGTGCTAACTCCAAGATGGGGTCCTTAGTAACCCCATCTTTTCTGACCGCCTTTAAAACTCTTTAAACTTCTTTAACCTTGCTTTGCTGATGGACCAGCTGTTTCTTTTCAGGATCCTAATTGCTCCATGTGCCCTATCCTTTTTTCTTTCTTCTGACGCACCAAGAAATTACACAGCCTGGTCAGATCCTAGCTCCAAATGTCTCCATATGTCTCCTCTTCAGGGAGACTGGTTTAATGCGTACAGAATGTAGTCATAGCCTGCTCTGCTCTTGCGTGCCTACAATGGGGCAGGCACTCAGCACCTTTCCTCATGGCCTTTCCTGTCTGCTGACAGCTGGTATCAGACTTCCTGACTGAGCATCAGAGGCCCCTCTGGACCATGATATTATGCCTAGTGATCTTCTAGATTCACAAAGGCATTCTCTGGCTTCTGCTGATGCAGAGTATTTCAGACACTGTTTTTGGCTGGAGAGTGTTTCTCTGCAGAACTCAGAGAGCTGGGATTACTAGAAGCTACTGCAGGTCTCATGCAAAACAACCCTCTCCTTCTGGATGAAGAGGGACAGAGTCCCGTAGTACCAACTGGAGGCTGCAAGTTGAACTGTGTTGGAACCAGCCCTGTGCTGGCCTGAGGTCACAGCCTGCCCTCCCCTGCCTTGCAACTCTTCTCTAACATGAGCATTTCCGGTTGGCTGCATATTTCTACACTTTCTGAATGAGAGCATGTGTCTACAGATACTGTTGCCTAAATCACAGTCTGGTGGTTGACCCTAATGGGTTGGTTTACCCATGGCACACTTAGTGTCTCTGCATTGAAGTTGGCCAGCATTGCTTAGAAGCAAGGTTACCAATTAAACCAATTAAAGTGCCTGTTTTCTCCTTTGGAATTTAATACTTTGGACCGGAGTGAAATGAGTCATCACAGATTATGTAGGCACTTTTTTTTTTTTTTATAGAGCATTACTCAAATGACACATTCTTCAGGCTGTAAGATGCATTTTTGATGTTCCTAGTCTAGAATTGTGTGTTTTCCCCTTGTCATCTATACCTCTGTGCTGTTTTTTTCTCCCTAGACCTCCTTATACAACTCATCCCCTTATCCCTAAGCAAGACCTGGAGGTCAGGCAAGAGATTCTTTCTTGAGATTTGTAAAAGAATATTTCTAAACACAAGAAAGGAGGTTCATGCAATCAATGATAGCACATACATATTCAGTAATACAATACATAAAATCAGAACTTAGTAGAAGGCTCAAAAATAATTTCATCTTATTAAAAAATATTATATACCCTGAAATGTTAACAGAGATCACCTCTGTAGGATTATCTCTTTTTCCCCTTATCTGTGCTTTGTCATTTTTTTCCCCAGTGACCATGTATTATGTATTGTAAAGAGTTTTTTAAAAAGAAAACTAATGTTCACAGAATATCAGTATTATATGATTATAATTATCTAAAAAATGTGGCTTGAATATGTTTCCAGATAAACATATAAAGGGACAATTCATATTCTCTGGAAATGCTGAGAATAAAAACCAAATTGGACGTGTCCACCCCTCACACTCCTCTGCACATTGAAGCAACTTCCATGTGATGGAACAAGGAGCTCAGTCCAGAGTAGCAGTGGAGGCCAGATACCCACAGAGGGTCTTCTGGTCCCCGGGATCAGCATGGAATCTTGCTTACCTGGGTCACACAGGCCTCTCCTTGGGCCCAGAGCTGTCCAACAAGTAGATAGGTGGTGAATCCTGCCAGGATGGGGAGTAAGAGCAGGCAGCAGGTGAAAGCGCAGCACACGCTGCTGCTGCTCCTGGCTGCTGGCCCAACACTGGCCCTGGGCCTGTAGCTGCCGTCCGCAGGCAGCATTTCCACGCTGGCTGCTTCCCCAAAGCCCAGCCCTACATTCTCTGCCATGCTCCTCTGGTCCTGGGGACAGCTCTGATGCTGGGCAGAGAGACCCCCCCATTAAATAGAAGCCCAGTGCTCATAGTGGGTGAATTAATCATTGCCTACTCCTCCCCCTTGGCTCTCCCTGCCCCCTCCATAACTCTGCGCTCCGCCCTGATAGGGAATGCACCGCCCACAACAGAAACCAAGTTTGGTTTAAGAAAAAAAAAAAAGAAGAAGAAGAAGAAGAAAGCTTTCCCAAGCATATTTATGTACAGTGTGCTCATATGCTCCTTCCTTCGTTTACAGAAGGAAGTCAGGAAAGTCCCCGGAGGAGAAGAAAAAGAATCCATCAAGTCAGTGGGCAGGGCAAATGAAAACATACCTGTTCCTTGCAGGTTCCTTCCAAGCTGCCAGCTGTGCCAGTCTGGGGAGTATGCTGCTTTTGGAAGTGAAAGTGAGGGATGGGGAGGTGTGTGTGTGGTTTGTAGATTGGGAAATGAAAATTGAAACCATGCAAAATCTTGGGGAAATGTGTCATGGTTTGTGGGTCCTCACCCAAGGCACATCTCAATCTCAGAGAAACAACTGGGTTTATTAATAAAGACAATTAGGGAAAAGAAAAATATTTCTAACTTTACAAATGGCCATCTCTTCTACCCCAGATAGTGTCCACAGTGTCCAGTAGTATAAACTGAAAGCTGCTCGTGCAAGATGGTATTTCCTCTAGTGAGAGCCTAGGGATGGTGACAATGGTAAGCTGTAGACCAGGATCCAGCACGTGTGGTGCCACTGAGGTGGCACCACAGCAGCCAGCAGCAGCAGTCTGAAGGCTGGGCTGGGCAGTGCCAGATGCAGCAACAACAAGAGGCAGTGCCAGTCATGCCAGAGGCTGGAACCACAGTTAACAGTGGTGCTGGAGGGTCAGGAGTATGTAGCTCTTATGGGTGTCTGGGCACAGGCAGGCTGTGCTGGTCAGTTCTGGTCAGCAGGTGGCGATATGGACAACCAGGCAATAGCACGTTACAACTCCAGAGATGCCAGATGCAGTCAGTCCAGAGGCAGATGGGGGTCTTTGGCAGCAGGGCGGGAGTGGGGCTAGAGGGAATGGCAGAGGGTTGGAAGAGGGTGTTTGAAGCAGAAATGACATGCAAAGGTCTTAGTGAATGAGAGTGTCTGAAGTCCCACGTATATCCCCTTTGGGGTGCCCGTCTTTCAAACCTGATTGACCCATTTCAAAACTTAATTGGTACTAGTGTGAGCGCAGGCCTGACTGGTCTGTTTTCAAAGCCTTTCAAGTCTCAAAACCTGAATGGTGAAATTTGAAATCTGAAATTCAGTGGCATCTTCTTGAAACACATTTGGCTTGTGCTAGGCAGCAGTCTCGTACTGCACCTTATTGCAGAGGCGAAAAGAGGGGGTTGGGGGAAGGGGAGGAGAAGGGAGGGCCAGAGCAGGAGCTGGGGATGCTCCGCTTACAAAATCATATTTGCAGCACTGCTTTTCCAAGTGATGCCAAACCCTCTGTTTTTTGAGCCTCATGGGATCTCATTCCCATTGCACAGATGGGAATACTGAGGTGCTGAAAGGTGAAAGCATTTGCAATAGGTCATCCAGGGATCAGGAAAGAGGAGCTAGGAAGCTGATTTCATTATAAATCATAGTTTGGGGTTCTTGCAGCTATAGCATAATCACCTTTGAGGGGAAAGTATACTTGTAGTCTGAATTGAGAAATTGTCTGAGTTAAGAATATAAGATAATAGAGGTGACTGTCTGAGACAGCAGGACATTGACTTCTACTGCCTGATAGTTAAAAATGAATTGAGTACCACATGACTTATACTGCCTGATGAGCTAAAATTTAATTGAGCACCAGTGATAGACCTTACCCGCAGCTGGGTGTGCATGGGGACCACAACATGTAATAAAGACTGACATTTATTAAATACTTCCTTTGTTCTAAGTCACTGTTCTAAGTGAGTTAAATATATCAGTGAACTTAATCAATCCTGAGATAACCTTTTGAAGTAGTGATGTTATTATTCCCACTTGACAGATAAGGACATTGGAGCAGAGGAAGAAAGTGGTAGGACCAGAATCGGGATGAGGCAGCCTGTCTCCACAGCTTCCTCAACACCATGCTACACTTCTGTGGCCTTGCCTCACATTGTGGGGGGGAATTCTTGAAGTGTGTCTTCTTCTTCTTCTTTTTCCCCTTTGTATTTCTCTTTCCACATGAATTCTTTGAGTCACCCACCTTTTGTTGCATAGCGTTAAATTTCCTCAGCAGCAACTCTGTTCACATGATCAGTGTGGTCTCTGGTGTCCAGGAGGTACTCTAGTCTTGCTCTAAGTGCTAAGGTCTCTGAGTTCAGTGCCCCTCTGGATTACTTTAGATCATTCTCCTGGGAGTGAATTAGTGAACCTCCTTGGGTGCCATCTTTCTCCTTATTCCCCAACCAAAATCTTTTTTTTTTTAAGATTTATTTATTTATGCATATAAGAACTGGGGTATAGGTCAGAGGTGTGAGGGGGTGGTGAGAGGACTCACCCAAGACAGAGTGGGGAGCAGAACAGGCAGATCTACTGAAATATACTGCTGAGGGGAGCAGCAGGTGAGACAGGAGAGGTCTGATGTACCATGTGGGTCAGCTCCCTGGTGGGGGATCACACTCATGCCTCAGTGGCTGGTGATAGCTTGATAGCACTGAGATTTTAACCCTTACACCACCAGGGAGTCCCCCCCGCCCCAAACCTTTGCTATTGCATCATTCGAACACATGATCACATTATCAGATCATCTTGAAAGGCTTTACAAATGTGTTCTTATCCTTGTATAGCAGCGAGTCCCAGAATAGCAGAATAACATTGTTTTGTTACAACATTGATGAGAAACAAGTTACAGTGAATGTTGAGCAATATGATGTTATTCAAGGCCCTGGTTTCATCATATGTCACAGTTTTGCATTTAAGTTGACTTTCAGACAGTTGGGTGGAGATGACGTGATGAGGAGGTAGTTGGATAATGAGTCTGGAGTGCTGGAGAGACTTGGGTGGAAATATTCATTGGAGAGTCAAGTTTGACACAGCACTTATAGTTGGTGCTCCAAAATCTCCAAAGTGAGCCTCTCTTTTGATGACAGGTTCTCAAGTTCTTAGTCAAAAATCTTTGGGGTCAGATTTAAGAAAAGCATTAAGTTGAACCATATGAAGTTGCCAATAGCTGACATTTTGAAAAAAATTATGTCTATTGAGCTAGTGTGATTTACAATACTATAGATGTTTTAGGTGTTTTAATATCTGGCCCGTTTTGCCCTACAAAAATTATTACTTATAATTTCATATTGTTCACCTGAATAATGAACTCCATATGCCTTATGTTACATAACACTCTCTATGGGTTTTGGGACAACACTCTATAGCCAAACCCAGGAATATTTCTGCAGCCCAACAGACTCAAACTAACTGTAATAGGTAAGAACTGCATATGCACTTTCAGATCAGCTTTTGCTGCCAAATGTGTCATAAAAGCGTTCAGATTTTTAGAGCATTTTGGTTTTTGGATGGTGGACTTGTATTATTGTTGGTGTTACTATTATTACTGTTTCACCATTCTGCGTGACGTCCAGAGGTTTGAGTTAGTCTAACGAGTGGAAGTTACTGGGAGGGATCTTTCTGCTCAGTTAGAAGACTGTGTCATTACTCTGTAATGACAAATCCTCTGCTCCAAGAGTCAAAACAGCCCATTTAGTGGGGCTGTTTTAGAAGGAATTCGATTATTGAAGAGATGATGAGAGTCGATGCCTTTTATAGCTCATGATCTCAGAGACAGGGTGAATTTAAATAATTTCTACTCTCAGAATTCATTCTCTCCATATGTCAACTGGGACCTAGAAATTGAACCTTGTGATTACTGAGCATGCTCCTGGCTTTAATGTCACCAGGAGCTCTCTGCTTCTTGTCTTTGTCTTCTCTTTGCCAGCCTGTTGTTCTTCTGACCCACCTCTATACATCCTAGTTTGCTGGGTAACCTTTTTTCATTTGGCACCATGGATTTCCCCACCATAGGCAATTTGCTTGGGCAGCTGGATCAGAGGCCGGCATTTTCCTTGTTGCTTCCCAAAATGGGGAAAAATGGTTATTTCTCAGTAATTGCTTTTTGAATTGTAAACATGTTTAGACTTGTGCAGTATCCACAGGCTTCTTGTAAGTTAGGGCACAGCCCCACTTTCCTGGAACGGTGTCAATAATTGCTGGGCCTCGTCTCACTGGATCTCTTGGGAAATGAGCTATTTGATGAACGAGAACTTTGACACCGGGCCATGTAAGGGACAGCATCAAAAAAAGTAGCCATTTTGAATGGAAACCTTTCTAAAATATAGTTTATACTTTTAGAAGTTCTTATTTTTTATGACTCTGTAAGTAACATACTTTGACTTGAAGAATATGAGGGACGGGGGGTAGAGTCATTCACACTCTCTAAAATGGTGGCTGCCAGCTTTCTGTAAGGGATCAGATGGTAAGTAGTTAGAATATGTAATGCCGCAGGCAAAACTGAAGATATGATATAGATGCTTATAAAGCCATTTAAAAATACATAAGCATTCTTAGTTTGCACAGCACACTACAAGACAACTGCTGGAGTTTAGCCCTAGGCGGTAGTTCTGATCTTTGCTCTATTTCCTTTAGAAACAGGTATCAACATTTATTTAATCTAATTTTTGTGGTAAGATTAGTTTACAATATTGTATATGTTTGAGAAGTAGATTTCATGCCTCTTCAAATGTGATACCAACGCCACTTACCACCTGAGTATTTCTCTTCAATTTAATTTTCTATGCTTAAGACTTTTTAGAAAACCATTGTTGAGATCACTGTTATATCCCCTTTTGATTTCCATTCTTCTCATTGAATAATAGCATTTCATGAATAATGTGGTGAAAGACTGTTCTCTCAAATGGTAGACCATAGTTAACCTAAAGAACACTACCTAAAGTAGCATTTGAATTGTTTCTGAAAATGCACAGTTTTTTTTTT